AAAATTAGATTTAAAAAAATCTGCCACAACTTATGAGACACCCTGTATCGAATAGCATGTTTCGATACTCTCTATGTGATAATGCGTATGAGAAAGTGCGAAAATGCTGGTGTGTCGGTAGAGGGAATCTTTCGTTCTGGACAGTGAAAATGGCCGGCACCCTTCCAGGAATAAGTTCCACGTGGTTCAATCAGATTCCGAGTACTACTGGATGAGCTGTATCCAATGGTATAATCATATACTCGATAGCTGAAACTACGCTGAGAAAATCTAAACACACGAGTGTGTTTGCGAAGACATCAATGATTATGGACAGTAAAAGGAGCCGAGATTGTTCCAGGATGTTGTTCCAGTCATCCTACTTATGTTCGAACTGCAATTCAATGTGTGTGGGTGTAGGTGTGAGTGTGGGTGTGGGTGCAGGTTTGGCTGTGGGTGAGAAGAGAATCCAAACGTGCATCCACATGCAAAACTGACACCAAGACCCCGTCCACCCATACTCCCACCTATATACCTAACCACACATAGCAACCCTTGTATGCTGATATATTCGTTTTTGACGAGTGTCTGGGTGTAGTTTGAATTCTCGAGAATGCGATAAGACTGTTCTATAGAGATTAAAAGGTGTTGCTTGGACAAAAAGTGGATCATCTAGAATATCTTGCAGGAAGACTCCCCAGAAGTTTTACTATCCGGAATCAAAGATTCCTCTGCTGAGACGCTAGTATTTTAGGATTTCCATGAACGCAATTTCAGCTACACAAAAACTAAATGCACCATTGCATATAACTCATCGAGCTGCACTTAGAACATAAGTGGAACAACTGGAACATCATTCTCGAAGAATCTTGGCTGCTCTTACTGTCTACAATCAGGAATTGCTGCGCTCACAAGCTAGAAATTCTGGGTTCTCCGCAGCGCAATTCGACCTACACAAATTCTGAATGCATTATGAGATAGAACTCATAGAGTTAGACTTTCAACATAGGTGGAACAACTCGAACATCATCCGGGAAGCATCTCGGCTAGATTTACTGTTCATAATCATCCATTACTTGGCATACGCCCTACCATTTTTATATTTACTTAGCCTAGTTTCAGCTATCGAGTATATGATGATACCCTTGGTTAGAGTTCATCGAGTGGTACTCGAAATCTGATTGAACCATGTGGAACCTATTCCTGGAAGGGTGTTGGCCCTTTTCATTATCCAGAACGAAAGATTCCCTCTACTGACACACCAGCATTTTCGCACTTTCTCATACGCATTATCACATAGAGAGTATCGAAACATACTATTCGATATAACTCTTCGAGTTGTACTTGGAACACCAATGGAACATTTGGAACACGCTCGTTGACCTATCTTGGCACGTTTTACCATAGAGAATACCAAATTCTTCCATTGTTCCAGCAATATTTTTAAATTTTCTCCGACACTCTTCCAGCTACGGAAAATCTGAGTATATCATTCGATACAGCTTATCGAGTTGTACTTGGAACACTAATGGAACATTTGAAACATGCTCCTGGACGAATCTTGGCAGGTTTCACTATAGCGAATCCTGCATTCTTGGTTTGATGCACGAATATTTTTGAATTTTTTCCGACACAGTTTCAAATACGGAACATTTGAGTATACAATTCATTAGAGCTCATCGAGTTGTGCTTCGAACACCAGTGGAACATTTGGAACATGCTTCTGGGCGAATCTTGGCGGGTTTTACTCCATAAAATCCAGGATTTTTGTGGCGATAGGGTAGTATTATCACATTTTCTCAGACTCAGTTTGAGTTATCGAAAATCTGAACTCGCCATTCGATAGAGCGCGTCAAGTTGTACTTGGAACACGAATGGAACACTTGGAACCTGCTCCTGAGCGAATCTTGGCGGGTTTTAGTAGATGGATGCAAAATCAGCTATGGTGAAAATCTAGTATTTTCTGATTTTCTTGGACTGTGTTTGAGCTATCGGGAATTGGAATACACCATTCGATAGAGCTCATCGAGTTGTACTTGGAACACCAGTGGAACGTTTGGAACATGCTCCTGGGCGAATCTTGGCGGTATTTACTCGAATCTGGTGCCAACTTCACCTACGTCAAAGTACCTTTTTTGGTTCGGTATCGTACCATTTTTTTTCAGTGTGATTCGGATAGCGACGATGATATTAAAATATTATCAAACAAAAAATTAAAACAACAACGTAAACAATCAGCCGATACAAGAATAGCATCAAAGGCCAAGAGCAATCCTTCATCCACATTAACTACAACAACAATACATTCACCAGCTATTACAACTGATAATCCATCAAAAGCACAACGTAAACCAAAAGCAACATCCATAGCAGTTAAACGAAATCGCACACCCAACAGCTCGTTAGATTCCACAACAACTGATAACAAGGAATTCAAAACAAATAATAATGAAGATTAGTGTTTGTCATATTAACATCACCACTATTCGTAAACATAAAGACGAACTCCTTGCCAGATTCTCCAAATACGACGTCATATCTGTAAATGAAACTAACCTGAAAAGAGATCAACCGTTCTCTATGAAAGGTTACAATATTTTCAGAAATGACCGAGTAGGAAAACCTGGTGGAGGAGTATTATTAGCCGTCAAACAACACATTAAATGTAGTGAAATACTTAACAAAACTGTTGGAAAGAATGAAATAATAGCTATTGAAATTGCTACACAATCATTAAAAAACATATTAATCTCTTCAATATATGTACCACCAACAGCGAAAATCCATTGCAACATCTTTAACGAACTTTACAATTTAAACAACAACTGCATCATAGTACGTGATCTTAATGCAACAATATTCAATATGGGATCAAGAATAACAAATGCTAGAGGAAGACAGATACAAGAGGTGATCAACGAAGGTTATATGAACTGTATAGACGATGATAACACGACATTTGAAAAGAATGATTACGAAGAAAAGATTGACTGGATATTAGCCAGTCAACCACTTCATTCATTAATATCAAACGTCGAAACACATCCAACAATTGGTACATTAAATGGCCATAAACCATTAACCTTCGATATCACAATTGGAACTGAACCAAAACCAGCATCACCAAGATTATCCCTCAAATTCAAAGCAGCAAATTGGTCAAAAGTTAGAAATAAATTAAATGAACAACTTATGTTATGGAACAAAAATCGTAGTATAAATTCAGAATCAGATGTAGAAGAATATTCGTCGTTTATTACCAACAGCGTTATTGCAGCAACACAAGAAGCCATACCAACATCAAAACAACTGAATACAAACATAAAACTAAGTGAAGCAACCAAACATCTGATCCAGCTCAAACATAAAACCTATCGTAAATGGAAGAAGACTGGAAAAGATAGTGAAAAAGAACAATATTATAAATACCAGCTGCTACTAACTAATTCACTTAGAAATGACAGAAAAAACAACTTTAACAAACTTATGTCATCATTATGCCAGAAGAAAATGTATTCAGACTCAGTATGGCTGACAGTTCGCAAGTTCCACAACAAAAGAATTAAACAAAATCATACCAGTAACATCAAATACAACAACGTTACAGCAACATCAGACAAGGAAAAAGCCGACCTATTTGCTGATTATTTCCAAAATGAAGTCTATGCCAAACCGCCGGACACAATACCATTTCATCAGCAAGTTACAAGGCAAACGTACAACGTTAAAAACAGATCGGGAGACCGGAATTTCGGCCCAAGGAATTTTCGGCCCAGAGCCTAACTATCTTCAAAATGAAGTGAGGATGTGAGGGTGATGGTCAAAAATTCTGGGCCGAAAATTCCGTGGGCCGAAATTCCTGTAACCCAACAGATCTTCTAACACGAAACTAAACAAGTGGAAGAAGATCACAATTAAAGAAGTTAAATGGAATATTAAACAACTTCGTAATAGCTCCTCTGGTCCTGACAACATCCATAACAGATGTTTAAAGAACTACACGGAATTATTTATTCAATATTTAACTAAATTATTTAACTCTATTTTAAATATTGGATATATCCCAAATGGATGGAAAAAGGCTAATATTATATTGTTATTAAAGCCTAATAAAAATAAGCAACATCCTTCAAGTTATCGCAAAATTAGTCTCCTTAGTTGCCTCGGCAAACTACTGGAGAAAATAATGAAGCAACGGCTGATGGTTATACTGGAACAAAGAAACATCTTGCCAGAACATCAAGCAGGTTTCCGACCTAAAAAAAGCACCTTAAATAATATCTTAAGGCTAACTAAATATGCAAAACATCACGTATATGGAACTGATCGTCGACGTCATGCAGCTGTCATATTATTTGATATCAAAGCTGCTTTTGATTCAGTATGGCATGATGGGTTGATATACAAATTAAATCAATTACGTCTTCCACAATATATAATGAATTATCTCATGTCATTTTTACAAAATCGAATTGCTTCAATCGAAATTGAAAACAACTTATCAAAACCATTCATCTTAAATAGCGGTACTCCACAAGGTTCTCCATTATCTCCTTTACTATATATTATATATACGGCAGATTCAATGAATGGAATACCAGACCACACAGAACATGGTTTATTTGCTGATGATACTGCACTATGGACATCGTCAAACACAACAACAAGCCTTAACATTAGATTACAACAATCCATAGATGCATTCGAGAGCTGGTGTAAATCATGGAAATTAAAATTACAACCAACAAAAACTGAATTACTCCACTTTACTGTCCATCCAAGAAGAATTTTTAAAAATCCAATCAACGTTAAAATAGAAGATACAATCATTAAACCATCAGAGTCAACAAGATATCTAGGAATTATCATAGACAAAAGATTAAATTGGCGAAGTCATATTCATCATGTTGAATCGAAGATCGCTGGACGTATCAGTCTGCTTAGATTTTTAAACAGAACCGCATATGAACCAAACGACAAAATAATGCTGAATATCTTCAAATCAATAGCAAGAACTATGATAATATATGGTTATCCAATTCTCCTTACAGCTAATGATAAAATATGGGAAAGATTACAAATTATGGAAAACAAAGCCATTCGTGCTGCTTTAGGATTACCCATATATACATCAGTTGAATATATACATAAGATTAGCAACGTTACGAAAATAAAAGAAGATGCTACTACACTACTCCAACCATATATTCAAACTGCAACATCAAACAACGACAACGTACTGAAAAACAATCTAGAAGAAATATTCAATCAACTATGAAAAACAAATCACCTACCTATTATATATAATATACAGTAAAACCTCTCTAATGTGAACACCATTGGGACTTTTCAAAAGTGTTCACTATATGGAGGTGTTCAGTTTAGAGAGGTGACGCACATTTTGCTGAGAAATGAAGAAAAAATGCAGAATTTCTACTGCTACACTAGTCTTGAGTTAAGCAGAAGCTATTTTTTCTTATACTCATTTATTTTCATTTAAATGTTTTTTGTTGAAAAATTTTTAAATACAAGACAGGGCTTAGTTTTGTTGAAAAAAATCTTCTAATGTCGTTTGTCTTTTTGTTTTCTTGTAAAATTGGTCCTGATATTGGTATGTTTTTTGAACGTTGTTGTACAAACCATTCATATACTTCTTCATCGAGTTTTTGTGAATTCACATCCATTAATTTTCGTTTAACATTTTGATTCTGATTTGTTTCATAATCATTTAAATATTCTGCTTTACGTTTTAATACATTTGATACAGAACCAAGCGAAATATTGTATTTTCCAGCTAGTTCACGTTGAGATAAACCATTCCCATTCCTATTATCATTAATTAATTCAATTTTCTGTTGCAAAGTAAGATCATGACGCAATGACATTTTTTTAACGAATATTTGACTGCGTTTATGAGAAAAACAGTAAGTATATATAGGAGAGAGATAATTAGACGAGACAGAGAAGAAGTGGAGAGGCTTCTTCGTCCGTTTAGAAAATGAACAATGAGAACAATTAAGACAACGATTCTTCTCATTCAGAGAACACATCAGTTAGAAAAAGTAGGTCAGACGAACAAGACATATGTGTAACAGCTGAACAGTACGTCTGTTCACATTAGAGAGGCTATAGTAGCTAGACGGACTGGAAAAAAGTGTTCATGTTCAGAATAGAGAAGTGTTCACAATAGAGAGGTGCATATCCAGCAAAAATCGCTCCGTCGGACCTGAGACTGTTCAGAATAAGGAGGTGTTCACTATAGAGAGGTGTTCACCAATAGAGGTTTTACTGTATTTCAATTTTCGAATTATATTTCTTGGTACCGTATCTTATTTCTTCGTCACGATCTCGACAGACATTAAGAAGAAATATTTGTGGGTGGCAATATGTTTCTAAATAATCTTTCGAAAGCTTTATAATTTTTCCATCGAATAATTGTTTTTGATCATTAATAGAAAGAGTAGAAATAAATTTATTTTCATCATCTTTCGATTTTTAAATCCATCGAGCTTCTATAATTACATGAGCTTGAAAAGTTTCTGCTTAAGTATCAAGTTCATCTGTAATGTATCACGTTATTGAGAGGATGTAATGAATTGTTTCATTGGTTAATTTCAATGAGAATATAAAAATATCTGATCTGTAAAACGTACCTATTCGAAGAAAAACTAATCGAATATTTACATGAATTGTACTATGATTTTCGTTGGAATGTTCAACTAAATCCATTTTACGAATATCTATAAAATAAAAAATATTGATAATACAATTATGCTTTTTCTTGTAGCAGAATGTTTGCTGTAAACTTGATAAAATCTGAGCTAATAATTGATTCATGTTTGCCAAAATAACTTCGTACATATGTTTATGTTACCTGTTTCTGTCGTATAAGAAACCGTGCCTTTATCGTTCGTTCTTACTGACATAAACGGTACCTGTTAATTAGTGATGTCGACCGTGAAAGAAGTTGTTTTTTCAACGCTGTTTCATCGCCGATGCTACCACTTTATATATGCTGTAGAGACTGCACCAGTCGATTCTCTTTCCTGATATAAACATCTATGCTCTCATCGTTCACCACTATTTCATTCACTGAGCATTATGCAACATATTACTATCGATGACTCCTAAAAACAAGAAGAAAGGGTATTGAGTATATATTTGCAAGCATAAATAGTCGACATTGAATGCAGTAGAATATTGCCTATATTTAACAGAATGAGTGAAGATGAATGTGAGAAGGAGATCATTATAGTCACTCATCCTCCTCACGACATGTATGTAGTCAAAAATCTATTGAAATTAATTAAGTAATTTATCTATACAATCACTCACACAATTCACAAAAGAGATCAAAGGTGAATTCAAAGGCGTATCTGGAACCAAACGATGTTGCAAACAAGCGCATCATCAAACATCGGACTATAGTTTTGCACTGACTTCTCGTTGGGGGGGGGGGGGGGGGGGGGGGGGGGTGTGTGTGAGATGTGCGTGCGGATGTGAATATAGATTTCAGAGTTGGCGTTGATCATCTCTTCACATCCACATCAGAAACACTGATTTTTTTTGAATTTCGACTTCAAACTTTGCATAGAAACAGGTCTTAATGAGAATAGATTTTTGTGAATACTTCAGACCTTTCGGTTTCTTTCGATCCTGAAATGAAAACATCAAATCTGCGGATTTATTTGAAGGATGCAAAAAAACATGTTATCGTCATAGTTGTATTTGTAGATAGGAGCAGCCAGCAGATTTGAAGCATTCACAAAATCGATTCTCATTGACGCCTGCTACGATGCAAAGTTTCAAGTCGAAATTCAAAAATCAATTTTTCTGGTGTTTCTGAGGTGAACCATAGCATTTATTTGAAAATCACCATAAAAGTTCAGTATCTCTGTAATAACAAGCTAGCGACCTGAATTCTTGTCAGCATATTCATAGTTCATTTGGATCTACATATTACATGTAGTCTCAATACAAAAGTGATTGAACAGTTGGTGATCCTCTTCCGTAAGAACACGATGGCATATAAAACTAGTCGGCATTTCTTATTAAAAGCTATACTAACCTGTATGAAAGATCTCGACGCATCTTTCTACTTCCGACTTCTGGTGAAATAGATCACGTTTCAATAACACTTTATCGACGTTTATTCTCGTTTCATTATAGACACGCTATTAAACTGTACAAACTGACTCAAGGAATGGTGATCGATCCATTTCCTCTCATAGATTCCTCGTATACTCCTTTCGCCACAATGAGTAGCTTTACTGATGTTTATAATAGTCTAATTGGCATATCTAGGTATAAAGCCTTCAATTCATTCTTAGAATTTTACTACAGGAATATATTTTGTTGATTTCTTCACTGAAATCGTCATAGTCTTATACTCATATTGTTAGGAATAAATAGCTTTACGAAGATCTTCAGAAAACCACAGCTATCTTATAATTATTTTCTAAAGTTGAACTCTTTGTGGTTCAAGCTCATACAAAACTCTGCCTACTGTGACTTTTTTTTTGAGGGAGAGAAAAACACTTCCTGAGCAA